TCTGGAAGAACATTGGTGCTTTAGAAGGAGTCCTCATTCGCCACTCAGAAATGACTTTAAGTGGAGGTCTGGCCTCAGGGACAATTGCCACATGGAAAAATACGTTGGAACCTACTGGGAGTTCCCAGGGTTCTTTTGTGTCTTAGCTTGTTTGATAATGCCTTACAGTATTTATAGCAATTGTCAGAAACCATTTCCTTTAGTCAATTAGCATCTAAAAAGGAGAATTAAAAAATAATTTTGTGTCATTTGTAGAAATAATAAGTAAAAAAAAAAGTATTCCCTTGATCATATGACAGAGAATTTCCAAATATAACCTGGCCTGCAGACACTTCAGCACACATTCTGGTTTTGTTATTAAGAAAGTAGCGGTAAGCTGGCTTCATGTCCGTTTTGGTACTCTGTCAAGTAAACCATGTATTCAAACTCCCAGCTTCTGTTTTTTTGGCAAGTAATTGCAAAATACAAGCATTGTAATTGTTTCAGCTGTGTACTGCTTGATTTTGAAATAACAGGCTTTGAAAAACAGATCTTACAAATGTTTCCATTGATTTGCTGCCGTTATAAGGACGAACAGTGGAAAATTATTTTGCAAAATACAAAGCAAGCCCTTATGCTTATAGGAAAAGAAATACATCACACGTTTTAAGGCAGTCCGTCGGGAGGAGTCTGCAGCGCAGCTTCGGGGATGGCAGTGTTTTACGTCACTCCATAGATACAACAGGTGCAGAAATGCATGTTTGCATAGTTGCTTACAGCGCATCTTATGAGGTGTTTTGTTGAAGGAAGTCTAGCATAGTTAAAAGGAAATCTATGAATATACCTTACATTCTAGGGAATAATGTTATTAAAATATGCACGTGAAAGCATAATTTATATATATATGTAATTAAAACTGCTTAAAACTGAATAATTGACACTAGTTTGGTGTTACTAAAAAGTGAGCCTATACGGGAATCTTGTGTAGATGTTAAAAAGTAAGTGTGTTGATTTGGCTTTATTGATACAGAAAGTTCATTAGTACGTTTCATACCTATTTATTATCAAGTAGTAGTCTGAGTTGTTCAGTGTCTTAGACCTAATTCAGTATGGAAATACGTGAACCTTCTCCAAAGAGTATTATGCCACATTGGAGTGAAAGTATAGGCCTCGTTACACATCTTTGTTTTGTTGTATCTTACTCTTAAACTAGGGAAAGACAGGGACCCCACAGTTGCCTGTTCCTCTACCTGCAAGTGCTGGCTTCCCATATTCGCGCCAGTTGATGGCCTGGTTACTCCACTTCCAATCCGGCTTCCTACTGATGGCCTGGGAAAGCAGTGGAAGATGGTTCAAGTCCTTGGGCACCTGCACCTACGTGGGAGACCAGGAAGAAGCTCCTGGCCTGTGGCTTGAGATTGATTTAGCAGTGTCCATTGCAGCCATTTGGGGAGTGAACTAGCAGATGGAAGATGCTTTTCTCTGTCGCTTTGCTCTGTAAATTGCCCTTCCAATTAAATTAAAAAAAAAAAAGGGGGGGGGGGGAGTAACTGGATCTTGACTCACTCTTGGGAAAAACATTGCTTTTATGAATTTGTGATTTCTTTAATTCAGGTTATTTTAATAGTGAAGGGTAATCTTTAAGTTCAGATAAGTAAATGAGTAGAAATATGTATGGAATTGTAATGTTAAGCTGCCACACGAGAACAGGTCAAATATTTGTAATGTTTGTGATAAGAAATGTGTTAGTAAAAGTATTAGGACATTTTGCTGGAAGTTTATGGAGAAAAGGAAATATTTGCATTTTGTGTCACAGCATGAGAAGCCCACTGCATTTTTTTTTTTAATCTTAGAATGCACTATGTACTCATAGCTTCATTTCTTATATTCTGAAGAGTAATTTAGGTGTTTTAGTTTAATGATAAGCATTTTCCATATTTTTCTGTACTTTATTCATGATTTAGCGGCCTTTCCTAGGTAATCTTAAGTAGAAAAAAGTCAGGAAAATTTTCCTAAATGTGATCATTCTATTAGATTGTCAGATCAGACATTTGAACATTCAAAATATATCTGTTAAGGGCAAGTTTGTAGGCTCAGAGCAGGTAACAGTATTGAGGGAATTACCACGTTACATTTTTAGAAATCACGGAAATATGGTAGCTCCTGTGATGTCTGATTGTGATGAGTACAGGCCTCTGTGTTTGGGTCAGAGCTTTGATTCCAACTGCTGTTTTACCATCGAGTTTATTTTATAATTAACCTCAGCTATTTGAGTGGGCGAAAATTCTAGCTGCACATAGCTAGATTCCAGTTGTTGGCGTATCATTCTTCCTGAAAATCAGGGGAAGGTTTGACTTTTCTAACATTTGACTTTGAGAACGTAACGTTGTCTGATGTCGTCCGATTGGTAAGTTGGAATGCTAAGTGGTAGGGCAGCGCGACGTTAGTATCTAAGGCTAACAGGATAGCACCTCTGGGTAACATGTAAATCAAACGCCAAGAGTAGTATTGCCTTGTGCAGAATGCCTCCGTCGCATGACCAGCCCACCCTGTCGTGTGTTCTCTGGCCTGTGACGCGGCTGCTTGAGTATCAGAACGAACAGATGCAGATGCTCTCTTCCAGAACTGAAAGCCCTCTCTGTCAGAGAGCCACAGATCATTATTTAAATGTTTTAGGTTTGCAAAGCCACACTTAACTGTTTAGAATTATCCTGTGAAGAAAAAAAAAAATGCCTTCAACTTCAAAATCGGGGAGATATTTAAAAATATATGTTTCCATTTTCACTTGCCTCTCATCCTCCGTTGCTACTCAACAGCTTTTGATGTTGCCAGTGGCACTGTCAACCTGTTAAACCGTGTCTAGCCCGGGCACTGGAACTTGTAGGAGATCCTTGCACACTAGTGTCCGTACATGTAAAGAAGAATGATCATGCCGCAGACGGTGTTGCTTGCTGCCTTTGGGTCAGGCAGGCTTTGGGTGGGGAACTGGGGGGCCCACGCGGCCTGCTTTCACAGCACAGGCAGGCCAGCCGGACAGTGGGAGACGCATGGGTGGAAGAGTGCCCCACGCTCTCTCATCGTAGCATTGGTGTCGTGCCACGGACTGCCCTCAGATCAAGTCTGCGCTGCCTTTGCTGGTAGCACAAGGTTGAGTGCTTTTCGATGGTGGGCCAGAAAGGCCTGTAGGAAGAGAGCTTTCCGGAAGGGCCGGGGGAAGGCGTGTGGGGCACAGAGCTGGTGACTCAGGCTACAAAGTGGACTATTCTGTTGTGACACTGACTTGGAGTGATCTTAAACCGTTTAAATTTGTACTTGTATGGTATAGGAATCAATAAATTTTTTTTTTTTTTTTGCTATGTGGAAGCTTTTGGGTTCATTTTGCTCCAGATAGGAACTCTGAGTGGACACTAATCACTTTCTAACTTGAGTGCAGTTTGGCTAGTTGATTTTGGGCTTTCCTCTTGAGCAACAGCGTTATCTCTTAACCACACAGCCAACAGTCTTTGATACTTCCAGTAACAACCAGTAGACTATTTGATGATAAGAGAACCAAGCTTCTGCAGGAATCAGCATTTTAAGACTGTTTTCAAAGGTCTCAGGTTACTTATTTCAGTAAATGCAACTTTCCTTTTGTTGGTGGCAGCTTGTCTGAAATGTGTCAGACCAGCAGGCCACATGGGCAGTGTTTGTTTTATCCCAGAGGATGTGTCATTCAAGTTCACCTTTCCACCCCTCCCCCCCCCCCATTGCCACATCTTTTGCGATTTTTGCTTTTAGATTCACGTAAGCTTATTGTTTCAATTTTTTTTTTTTACTAAGATTTGTCTTCCTCCTGAGCCATAATATGGATGAAATTACAGACTTGATGAGCCAGTTTTAGCATATTAATGCATTTTAAAATTATGTTGTTTGCATGTTACATGACATCATCATGGGTACCACTCGTGTGTTCCCCCTTCTCAGGGAGAAACACTGATCTCAGCTTTCCATTAGATGGAGTTGAATTCTGCTGAAGACTGCTAACCCATTCAGACCATAGAATTTTTCCCTTTTAATAAATAACTGATTTGTTACTGTCTTAATCCCTTACTGGTAGAGATGTGACTGTGCAGCCTCCAGAGATGTTTAGTTTGGTTGTATACTGAAATCTCTGTTAATATCTGGGACCAGCCCTGGGGAAATTTATTTGTGAACAAACTTAGCTTGTAGAAGTACTGCTTTGTTAATTATGAACTTGTTGATACCAGGGAGGCGGGGGAAGAAGTTCAGGTCTTAGGCAAGGGGCCCACTCTTTTCACTTCTGTACTTAATGCTGGTCATTTCTTTCAGTTAGCTGTCTTAGTACATGAAAACCACCACCACCACACACACACACACACACACATACACACACACACTAATTACTTCATTAACTTTCTCAACGCATGCACTATATTAACATTAACAGCCTCTGAAAAAAAAAAATCCCCCAAGAGCCCAGCTAACTGCCCTGGGATAGAACCAGACTGACCTGTCTAAATTTGTTTTAGAAGAAGTGATATGGTTGGTAAACTTATGTGACTAAGCAATTTAATCTGCTCACCGAGGCCATCCAGTTCTCTAAAATAGAAGTTCAGTCTCATACGTGTGCAAATCTGTGTGCTGTCGCAATCTGAGTGCAACTCTGAAGTAGATATTTATACAGCCTGCATCACTGGGTGCCATTCAGCTGATACATATCAATGATGGAAAGAATAGTAGCAATTCCCGCGTGGCTTTCTTTCCTGTTTCATGCTATCTCTGATTCACTTCTTGGTGTTTTGCTATCCCAGTCACTTCTTATTTTCTTCCTTCCCTTCCTTTCTTCTTTTTCCCTTCAACTGTCTTAAAAGTGAAATACATGCATGATTTCTGATATCGCTTAGGAAGGTACGGGCTCTTGCTTTTTGTGGCAGAATGTGTTGAAGATGTCATCAGGTGTGAGACGCTAGAGTTTGGAGTCTTGTAAGTTTAAAGTGGCCTTGTGATTTTACACAGATTTCAAAACACTTGTTTCTCACTGTAAAACTAAGTTCTTTGCGCAGGGGCCGTGCTAATCTTCTCTGTGTCATTCCGATTTTAGTATATGTGCTGCCGAAGCGAGCAGTCCAAGTTCTGCAAATCTTTTTCTTGGTCACCAAAATTTATTGAAAGATCTTAAAATATTAGGCAGAAAATTGCCTCAGCATTTACTTACAGCAAATGTATTTTAAATTCGAATATTACCTTGAATACTCACTTAGAAGTGAAGTGTTTTTAGGGCAGATGTTTGTAAGAATTCCCACAGTATCCACACGACTTAGTATTTTAAAACCTATGGCACTTAAAATAACCTGTTTATTTGAAAGACACACACAAAAAGAGCGATTTCTCTCCTGCTGGTTCAGTCCCCAAAAGCATACAATGAGTCCATTCGAGCTGAAACCAGGATTCTAGAACTCAGCCTAAGTGTCCGGGTGGGGCTGAGCTGTCCCCTGCTGTCCGAAGGGTGCTGCTTGGCATGGAGGCTGGGGGCAGAGGCTTGAGCCAGGGCACTCCCCCGTGAGATGTGAGTGTTCTCAGCTGGTCCCCACTGCTGTGCGAAACACCAGCCACTGATAATGCACTTCAGACATTGTCTCTGTTTATGAAACAAACAGTCATTACCAGCAGAAGGAATGTTTTGGGAAGTGTCATGGATCCTCAACTAATCCAATTAGGGAAATATCCCATTTTCTCTGATTTTTTTTTTAAATAAAGAGGAAGAATTTAAAACAGTGCTCTGATGTCAGCAATTTAATGCTGTGACTGTATAGGCTGTAATCTGCTTTTTTTTTTTTTTTTATTCACAGTGCCATGTCAAGGACTGGTACACATAATACCAGGTTCAAGGCCAGCATCCATTCCAATTTCTTAGTGTCAGTGTCTGGCTAATTATAAGCACTTCAGTTAGCAACTTTTTCTACATTCTTTTGCAGTAAAGTTATATGGTCAGTTTACATACACATATCTAAGAGTGCTTCAAATGGTTTGTGAATTTTTTTTTTAACCTGAGAGACAGACAACATTTGGGCGCTCACCTGCTGGTTCACCTCCCGGATGCCTGCAATAGCCAGGGTTGTGACCAGCAAAATCCAGGAGCCAGGCGCTCGGTGCGGGTCTCTGGAGTGGAGTGGCTGGGACACAGTGACTTGCGCCTTCGGCTGTCGTGTCTGATGCGTGCATCAGCAGGCCGCGGGCAATGGGAACAGCTGGAACCTCAACTCTGGTGAAGAGAACAGGCTTCCTCCTGGACATCTAAAATGTCCCAGGAGCAAGTGGAATTCTTGAAGTCTTTGCCTAGCTTTTCCATAATTCTACATTTCCATCAACTCTCTGAAGGATTGTCATGTACCTGGATCTTAAAAAAAAAATTATTCCCAAATAAACTTAAAATTCCATTTTCTTTGAACTTTGTGAAACCATGTGTTAGTCTTTCAGGAACACTTTGAAACTCAGGAAGATTACTCTAAGGATTCAGAATAACCAGAACAGTTAATTTTCTAACATTTTAATTATTAAAGTGTGCCTTGTATCTGTGTCTGGCTAACCCCATGGTATGGCAAAAATAAGAACTCCAGAAATCAATTTTTATGTTTGTATTTAGATATACTTAACAGATAATGCAGATATTTCTAATGGTATCTTTCTTCATTATAGTGCTTGGGTCCCATTATACATGATTAAACAACTTTCTTGAAATTTGGGACTCATTCTCCTATAAGTACTTATTCCTACAGTGCAGCATGAATAATTTTATCTGTTTGTCAAGCATGTTACAAACATGTGTTACGTTCTGGAATGCACCCTGTTGTGGAAGTGAGAGGAAGTTAAAGACACACAGAGTAGTAAAAATATTCTTAAGTGAAGGAATGCTTGGGCTAATTGGTCTGTCTCCTACAAAAGGTATTTCAGTAGGAATTTAATCAAGGGATTTGCCAAATTTTAGGAGTGAGGAATTGTTGTCATACTGAACAAAACGTATTAGGGATCCCGCAGCAACCACCTGCAGCCTAGCATTCCCAGGAAGCCATCACAGCACCTTCCAGAAGCAAAGCTGATGGGTGAAACACACCAGTTCATTCAACGGAAAATGTTTAAGAAAGAGGGAGTTGTAAATCATCTTCGGGGGGGTCAAGTAACGACAAGGACCAAGCAGTCTTTGGGTTTAGCATCTATGAGAGAGCCCCGACAGCTTGTGTTGAGAAGTAATGGGTATGGAATTGAGAGCCATGTGGATTTAGCTCAAGTGAATGGGAGAGAAAGAAGCAGTGTAGATGGCTCTTTGAATTGTTTAGGAACCCTGAGTTTTAGAGCCGTAGCGAGAAGATGCATAGCCCAGCTAGGGTCCCCTTTCTCCTGCTCTGCCAACCTGTCCATATCAAGTTTACTTCAGCCAACGGGCCGAGAGAAAGAACTGTTGGGAAGGCATGGCATGCTTACATAGAGGGCCTACAAAGGAGAAAAGATCTTGAGTGGGAACCAGGCAGAGCAGAGACTTGTGGAAGTTTAGTCATTGGCAGGAGTTGAGGAGCTCTTGAGCTGCCAAGAGGAAAGATAACGGACAGAAGTCTGATGGAATTCATGCGCAAGGACTAGCATTGGACTGCATAGAACAGCATCCACCACTGATGGGGAGAAGGACAAGGAGGAAGAAGCAGCTGAGGATGAGGAAGGCGGAATGAGTGTAGACTGTTTAAGGCCAAAGGGAGACTGCTTGGCGGTGGGACAGCCTTGTAGTGCAGTGGTATGTGGAGACAGTGATGTGTGTGTGATCATGTACTGTGTTCACATTTGTGTTTACATGAATATGTTTCTGAGTGTGCATTTTTGTGTCCCGTAGTTAATCCTGGTAATGATATTCAGTAATTAATAATCGTGTAATTTACCAGCGTGGATGGAACTCTGTTTACCTTCACTGTGCCAAGCCTTGGGGAAAGTGAGACCAATACAGTTGCTTCTATTCTCTAGAATATGTGACTTTGTGGGTCAGATATGTAAAGGAATAAAATACTGTATAGGATAGGTGGTACATGGGTAATTCAGAAAAGGCAGTACTAATACTATTATTATGATCAGTGGTATTACTATGAGTGAGTAAAGATAAAAGAAAGGACATCTTCGAATCTTGTAGGAGATGATGTGGTTTTAAAGGAGTGAATGGTTGTGAGTAAGGCATGTGAAGTTTCTGGAGAAGAGGACTACAGAAATTGTTAGCTGTGCTGGCGGAGTGAACTCACTGAGCAATCCCGGATGCAGAGGAGAGAGCCAGGGAGCCCGGAGCTGTAGCCTGGCCTTCCCTGGTTGAGTGGAGAACCAGCTAGTAAGTCTTTACAATGTAGGAAAGTATTCCTAAGCACCGACATGAGCTGATTTTTTTTCCCCCGTATCGAACACTGTATCTTACTTTACTGCAGTGTTTTCCAATTTGTTTTGGAAAGTAGCTTTTAAAAAAGTTAGTTGTAGTGAGAACAGTAAGTATTATTCCTAAAATAAAATTTATAGATTCAACTGGTTCTGTGTATATGGACACACACGTACATATGTATAAAATATTCGTATTTTATGTTGTAATTTACAACATGATGAGCATGCCACATGTCAGACGGTTTTTGGCCCGTGGAGAGCTATATATAACCAGCAGTTGTTAATAATAATGTGTCATTGCCGCTTTGGAGAGTGAAATTTAGTTGTTCAAGCCTTTTCTTTGTTGGCAATGCTTGAAAGAAAATAGAACATTTCTTTCTGTGACTTGTGAACATTTCCTGAAAGTTACTCATCCTGATTGAAAGTTGTTCAAAGCAGAAATGCCAGGCTCCCGGGTGGCGTTGGAGCGTGAGCTGAGAGGGGATCCCACGGCCCTCACCCTTCGTGTTCACTTGGAATTGTCCTTGGAAGCGCATCACGCTGCTCCAATCCGACTGCTCCCTTAATATTTAATGTTTCTGCGATGGAATCGCTTTCTCCCTCGGGCTTGACTTCAGATTTAGCAGACACGCTGACAACACTGCGTTCCTTATTCTCCCCACATGACCTCAGCTTCTGCTGTAAGAATGTGGGCATAAAGGCTGCTTTTGTCCATATCTCGCCTGCTCGTGATATATTGACGGAGTGTCTGCCGGCTCAATGGAATAGTTTTAGAGTATGAGTGCTGCCTTCCGTGGAGGGGCAGGACTTGGGCTTCCCAAGGAAGTGAATTGGATAGGTCAGGAGAATATACCATTTGTAAACACCCCTCTCCTTTTTTATTCACGTGTCAGGACAGCAGGAGCAGGCTGCTCAGTGCCCGTTCCTGCGCAGAGCCGCAGGGAGAGCAACTTGAAAGTCAGCTGCAGTTTTTAAACCTTGGCTTTTTTTTTTTTTTTTTTTATTTGCCGGTGGTAATGAGCTTCAAGTGCTTGGGCTTGTCTTAGACGCTGTTTTGAAACTAACATGGTTTAGTCCACTCACTGCATGTTGGGTAAATTCAAAACCCACATGCTCGTCCTCTTGCAGTGGAATAAGTCACATCTGATGGACATTTTCTGTGCTTATAGCATAGTAATGAACGTCTGACAGGCGCGACCTTTCATAAGACAACCCACACTATTGGCTTTCTGCCCAGAATATTGCTGCAACAGTATCTGTGATTGGTTATCTCTCTGTCATGCATTGCTTCACAAGGGGAAACGGCCCCCTTTTTTTTTTCAAGTAAATCTACGATGGCTGGCTGCAATATGCCTCACTGTAAGTATGTGGTGTATGTGTGTGTGGGAGGGGTGAGAGAGAGAGAGAGACTGACTCGGAGGGACTTAGGCCGGCATCACATGCCAAGGTTGTGATGCGGCAGGCAGGGCATCGGTGAAGTGCTGCTAAGTAAATCTTAACCTATCTCTTTTTTCTACAGGTTGGTACTAAGAAGTGCCTTTCCTGACGTCTCTGCTTGGACCCGCTTCTAGAGCAGTTTCTGCTTTTGCCTTGCTTGCTGCCAGCTAGACTGTGACGACAGTACATCACCCTCCACCTCTAGCCCAGACACCCCCGTTTCTACTTAGAATCAAGAGAAAAGCTCTGAGTATCTGGCATTGCCCTAGGCTGCTTTAGTGAAAGGAAAAGTTTGCTGAAAAAGTGAGATATCTTCTGCCAGGAAATCAAGGAGGAAAAAAAAAAATCATTTTCTCGATTTTGCTCTAAACTGCTGCATCTGTCTATGCCAAACTAATCAATACCGATTGCACCACCAAACCCCATTGCAAATTCAGCTGTGAGGAGATTCCCTCTTAGACAACTTTGCTGAAAGCAGCTGGGAAATTCGGTGTCAGAGGGTCTGCCACGTTTTCATGCTTGCATTTTGGGCTCCCAATTGGCACTGGGCAAGGGTTACTGAGCACAAGTCTGGTTCCAGGCCCCACTTTTAAACGTTCACCTACTTAGAATCCTAGTATTTCTCGAAAAACCAAAACCTCTTTGAAATAACAGTTTCGTGCTGTGAATTTCCAGTGGGAGATCTCTTCCTTGATATTGAAAACACAATTTTCAATGTACTTTTAAAGCGGGGGTTGGGGAAAAGTATTTTGAAGGGGGATATTTTCATCATCATTTCGGAGTTTTATCAGTTCAGCCTTCCCCCCCACCCCCCTCTGGTTTGTTGTAGCTGTTTTTTTTTTTTTTTCTTTCATTTTTTTTTTCCCCCCTGGGGGGGTTGGGGTTGTTGACTTCACTGAAAAATTTAACTACCTGTAAAATCTAAACATGGCTGTTAGTGTCACACCGATTCGGGACACAAAATGGCTAACACTGGAAGTCTGTAGAGAGTTCCAAAGGGGGACTTGCTCACGGCCAGACACGGAATGTAAATTTGCACATCCTTCGAAAAGCTGCCAAGTTGAAAATGGACGAGTAATCGCCTGCTTTGATTCATTGAAAGTGAGTAAATATTACATTCTTTTAAGGCTATGCAATAATTGAATAAAGGGGGTACGGACCTGCGTTTCTCTGAGTTAGGGACTAAGGATTGCTGTGTGAATAGTCTAGCTCTGTCGTGTTTTTTCACTGACGTTGGGTTGGACAACTTTATGAGAGAGAGGGCTGAGTCTGACTAAACTTTGTCAGGAAGAACTTTCATCAGGCTTTGATAACTGCATGATTTTTTTTTTTTTTCTGATTGTTAACGTGTTGTCCTTTTTGCCAGTAATAGCAGATGCAGTGTCTTACTTGGCAGTGGCAGATATAGATATATGTGTGTCTAGCATATTCATACATTTTAGGTGAGGCGCGGCAATAACTGAATGAAGGTTGTGTATGTGTGTGTTAGAAATGAACATACTTTAAATTAGCAACACTTGGATAGATATTTTTTTTTTTTACTCTTGATATCTTAACATTTTTAGATTTCCTTTTAGTTTGACTGGCATGTTAGTTTGATGCCAGAAGCCATGTGCTTTGTGGAATTTAATGCAAGAAGATTGTGAATTGCCACAAATAGCCCCTCACCTGAGGGGCAGATTTGGTTGAATATGAGTTTTTTAAGTAAGTAGGAATGCATAAATGATATTATCTATTGTATATTTTTTTTTAGCTTCAGAAATTCTTATGTGAACTAACTTATCATTTTCTGTTATAATCTGATCATATTTGATGTGTAATAGCCTCAGCCAACAGCGTTAAAAAGTTAGCTTTTGTGGGCACTTTAATCAGAAAAGATTCACTTTAGTGTTTCTTGACATTCAGAAATGTCATTGGCTTAGTAATTTAGATATCAGGTTTCAAAATGGTTCCTTTAAGACAGCATTCATGTCTTTATTTTGACAGGTAAGGTCAAGACCAGAAGGGTGTTCTTGGGGTCTTTCATTTAATTTGGTGGCGTCAGATTCATGTTTCTGATGGCTAAGACCCCACTTTCATTCCTTGAGCCTCTCAGGAGGGGATCCCTATCATTTCTAAATATACAGAGAAGCAAAACATAAGTCTTATCTTCTGAAAAGAAAAAAAAAAGACGTAGTGCCACCTCCTCGCACAGCCTGAGGGGGAGATGCAGGTTAACCAAGTCCTGCTTTTCCTTGTTCAGTTCACTTTAAGTTTTTGCCAGATTCCAATGATAGCATCTCCAGGGTAGGAGACACTCACAGCAACAAAAAAGATTCTGAGAGAATAATGTGAATGTCGTAGTTTTCAAGATCAGCAGGCAGACGTGAGGGAATACCGTGGAGCCAGCCTCAGTTTCTTTGAAAGACACGGTGAAGGGCACACACACGTGTGTCCCTAAATTCACGCTGACTGAATTCAGGTGTGATCAGAGACCGAGACCCATAAAATGAGGGGCAAAGGGGCTAATGGCTCTTGTTGTAAGCCAGCTGTGGCTATAAGGAGCCCTGTTTCAGCCAATTACTGGTAAATCCCATTTTTAATCCTATAAACAGTTGATGGTGCATTCATGGCTGCAAAATGAAGGACACTAAATTTGGCCGTGACATTGAGTGGTTTTGCAGAAGACCTGCCTCTACAGCGTTGGGAAACATTGTGCAACTTAACAGTCAGTTGCTATTTTTCCATCTCAAAATATTTTTTTTACTTGCCGCTCGCTGGTCACCACAGAACAGTCCCCCCTTTGAGTGAAACAGCCGCATTGCTTAATGACATGCTGTGTGCTTAACAAGATTCAACTGCCACAGCAAGGGCTTTTTTTTTTTTTTTAAACTTGCAAGCAATTTGAAGATTTTATTTGTGAAAGGAACTCCTTTTAGCAGCTAGCCAGTGAAAACTTTGCCCTTTGTAAGAGAAACTGAAATTTAATTTGTTATGTCTAAAGCTTAGTGAAATGTTTTCTAGTAAAATATCGGGAAAAAAGTAAGCACAAATTTATTTATGGTTGACCTTCATATCAGGAATAATGGCTCTGTAGCTGTTACTTTACTAATAACTTTGTGAAGGGTTAATTAAAGCAATTTAGAATATGCAAATTAGCACTTGTGTTTAAAGAAACCACCTTTCTTGTGTATCTGTATATTTATTACTGACACAATGTATGATTCCTTATACATTGTTTAGAGTCTTACCCTATAGCTAGCGCTCTCTCTGCATTTAATTTTGCAGCTTAGATACATGAAAAACATATTTTGAAACAGTGAAAAGTAACTGTGACTCATGCTTGAAGTTCTGAAATTTGGGAGTGTTTGGAGGTTCGCATGCCAGCGACGGGTAGATCATTTGCCATTGTCTCAGAAAGTGAACGGAAGGAATTTAGAGAACTTGTAATATCCTGACTTCTTTAATAAAATGTGTTCTCTGTGTTGCTTAAATCGGTAATCCAGCCGTTTTTAAGTTCTTAGGGCGTGAGATGGAGGAAGCCAGTGTAATGTGCTATTTTTAGAAGGTTGGGAAAGCAAACCAGATCCTCTCTGAGAGGACCCTGTGAAATGGCTGTCCCCTTTAGCCGTGCTGTTTCAGACTCGGGCCAGGATCCCAGGTGACTGATGCCTGTCGCCCACTTTGAGCTAGAAGAGGAGAATTCATGTCATTGAAAAAAACAGAAGTCGTACAGTTGAAGAAAGTGTTTATTTGAAAAAAAAAATTTTTTTTTTGGCAAGTTACTACAGATAATAGGAAGGGCATTAGCTGGTAGGGTTCTTTTCTGCCAGAGCGTGGTTTGGTTTAAATAATTTAGTGAGGAAATAATTTACAGGAAAATGTAGAATTTTCTATCAGAGTTGCTAAGGAAAATGGGGTTTCATGGTAAGGAGAAATGTATGCCGATACTGTGTTTACTAGAATTAGAGCACTCAGAAAAAAGAGAAAAAGGTGCAATCATGTGTCCAATGCATAACAAAATAGAATTGTAAGCACTGAAGTTCTCTTATTTTGTTTTTATACTTTGTTATAATTTAATAGCACACTTAGGAGTATGCTTAACGTGAGACTTAATCAAAGTGCTTACAGGCCACAGATTTGGGTGTAGGGCTGCTTCCAAATCCCAGAACTGAAGATGTATTTTTTTCCCCCCCTTAGGACTTTTGAAAGGGATACCAAAAAAGAGAGCAGTTTAAATGTCAACACTGCAAGCCACCATGACAATGATACTATATTTTAGGGATGACATTTCAAATAATACTGAATAACAAGTTACCTGTTGTGTCATTCCTTAGAGAATTGATGTAAAGTATACTGAATGTATTTTAATGTGATGTCAGTTTATGTATTTTCTCAAAAATGAGCCTTCACCGTGGTGCACAGGCTGGACTGGCTGCTTGTTCGAGGCCCCGTTGAGTGATGGGGAATCGATGACAGGGAGACTCTAGCCTTTGCTTGTTACCGGTGTGGCTGAACTCTGACTCTGGGTAGCTTTCCTCTTGTTGCCCTTTTATCAAATGGAACAATTTTGTTCCAGACTTTTATTCCATGAAGTACATTCACATGTGAAGGATTTTCAAAAAGTTTGTGGAAAACACGTCTCATAAAATTGTATGGATTTCAATGTTTTTGCACCCCCACTTTTTCCATTAGCCCTTTGAAGTATTCTTCTTGTGAGTAGTAGCCCCAAGGGGCGAGTTTATCTTAGACGTATGAGTTTCAACTTTCATTTCAAAATGGTGTGGAATTAAAGGCACAGCACGAACACTTTTAAAGTACCTCTGAATATTTACAGAAATGTAAGAACCATGTGTTAGGGTAGACACAGATACACATGGGAAGATGGGCAGTTGACGGGCTCGGAATCACTCAGGCACATCGAGCTGTAAGAGGGTTTCATGCGAGCTAACTGGCTCAGTGGACAGTGTGGAGGTGTGGTGGTATACTCATGTTGCCATGTTGGAATATCCTCGCCTGTGGGGCTGCTCTTGTAAGCGCTAGGCAGTCTGCATACTTTTAAAGCCAGTTTATCCTAAGTATACTTGTAATTTTGTATTTAGATTTTAATCTATTCTGTTACTAATCAGACTGACTTCCACTAAGATTTCTGTTTGGTTTTTGCTCCCGGGATCGCCCATATGATATTAAAACATTGAAATATTCTTTCCTACGTGCACGTAGCTCACCGTCCTCTGCCAGGTTGATCCAGCTCTTCCTCGCTTTCCTGTAATGACAGGAGATGATCTGTGCGAGGCATGACTTGTTAGCAGTGTTTGTTGTCAAAGTTCTTTCTTTTCTTGGCAGGGACTCCACGGCTCTTTAGGCATGGCCTCTGTGGGCGCTTTGGTGTTTTCAACTCTGCCACGGGCCTTTCTTTTTGAAATGCTCAGAGGCTGCAGCTGACTTAGTAATACTAAATACTGTAATCATTTACCTACTTGCATTCATACACTTGGCAAACCTGTAGAAAAAGATTTTTTCTTTTTTTAACAATAAATTCAGGTTTTGTAAAACTTTGGTTAGAACAATTTCAAGCCATGTTTTGAAATATACTACCTAGGGCACTGATTCTATTCAAGTTATTTATTTATTTATTTTTTTTAAAGAATTTGGAACACTGCTTCCATTTTCTTCTGTGTTATTATCTTGGTCCTGGGTCTGATTGTGACAAACAAAAAACATTGAAATCAACATAGTGCTTAGAGCGATGTCTACGGTTTAGTTGTAATGCAAACGGCTATAAGTATGCAAAATTTTGATTCTGCTGAGTAGACTTGCCCAAGGCTGTCACTGGAGGAGTAGGTCTCGAAGATGCTTGTGACATGTGCCCAGTTCATGCAAGAAGACAGAAGCGGAGCGAGATACCTGGGTATCGACTGGGGAAGCTTAGCTTGTCATTTTTCTTGCTAAGGATAAGAAGAGGATTTCAGCCATTAGCTTCCTCTAATCCGTTACCTTTCATGCTGAGCTGTCTCCCTCTGCGCAGACTTGGGCAGAGCTTCCTGTTTTTGTATAAAGAGATGTTCTTGAAATTTGAGGGTTTTTTTTTTGTGTGTTTGCTTCATTTAAAAAAAAAAAAA